AGGTTTTTCCTCAAAAATCGGGCTTTTTCTTTTTGGGCCGGATTTGATATCGGACGGTCGCCCACTTTTTGTTCAGGGTCGCCCATTTCTTCTTCAGTGTCGCTCGTTTTCTTCAGGGGAGCGACCGCTCATATTCACCAGCAACCGCTCATTCTCCTTTGCGACTCGAGGCGACCGCCTGGTGTAACGAGCGGGCCGCTCGTTTTCTCTGTAATCGCGCAGAGCGACCGTCTGATTCTGCGAACGACCGCCCACTTGCTCGCCTATCACAACGAGCGACCGTCTGTGAAAACAGGCGGCCCGCTCGTTTTCTCTGAGTCCTCCGGGACTTCTCGATTCCGCTCCTTTTCCGTGCCTCGTGCGTAAATGTCCTCGTTCGATCATCCTGCAAGGAAAATGGAGGAAAGAATCCTACCCATGATCGTCTAACGTCCTATTATGCCTAAGATATGAGAAAAATCGAAGTATGTGACGTTAGAAAAACCAATGGAAAACCCGTGTGATCAACTATGTGGAGGTAAAATTTTAATAATTTTTTTTATAAATATTAAATTTTAGTATTTTAAATTTATTTAAAATATTTTATACATTTTTCAGTCGGCCTCTCCAAATAAGGGCCGCATCTATAGATTCGGTGGATTGCAGAGGGATTTGTTTGATGATTTCGGTACTGCCATTTCTTCCGACATGCAGAGTGATCTTCAACAACAACGGCGGATCGAGACACTCGAACAACAACTTGCGCCGACGAGGCAACAAGTGAGTAAACCTCGAACAAATTGTTGAGTTTATGCGAGGTGATCGCCCACTTCACAACACGTCGTCAATTTGGGAGCTGAAACTACGACACATAATCTCGGGACCAGTGAGGACAAAGAAACCCGTAGTGCCAATTAATTTTAATTTTAGTTTTATTTTGTAATATTTGAACCATATTTCTTTTATTTTAATATTTTAATTTTAATTTTGTTTATTTTCTATTATATTTATATATATATATATATATATATATTTAAATATATTATTTTATTAATTAATATATATAGTATATATTTATATATATATATATATATATATATATATCTACTTTGAGTTCTGTAGAAAAAAAAAAGAGACATTTATAACATTTATTGAATAATAGACATAAAAAATGCATTGGTCATAAACTAATTTGTTATCTAGTTTTAAAAATTTCACTTATAAATTTCACATGATTAAGGGCAGTGCAAGGGCAGACGACCAAACGTTTGGAAATTTGTTTTCTTGTGGCTTTTTCTCGAAACCTGTCTCCATGAAAATGATGGAGATGGCGTGGGCATTCAGGGCTTTAATATATATATATATATATATATATATATATTATTTTATATTTTTTATGAGTTCCTGGAAAATACTGCAAAAACTGTACAAAGAGAGGGGGAGTCAGCTCCCTCCACATGGTTTTTCTGAACTTTTACTTCTTTATAATTGATTTAGGGATTGATGGAAGTGAAAGCTACGGACATCATGGATTCCAATCTTTACCATAGCTGCTTGCATATTACACATACTCATACTCGTATATATCAATAATTACTAAAACTCAATATTAATTTATGTATATAATTTTTGCAACATTAAAATAATATTTTTGTTTTGGTATAATACATTACATTATTGATATTGTGATTAACAAAAAATTTCAAACAGCAGGATACATTCGACATACGGTTAAAACAAATGACATCTTGAAATGATGACTTTCAAAAAAATATTTATATAAATTTAGTTCGATAAATTATTTACTGATTTTATTATTTTATTACGTACAATTTCTTTGGAACAAACGAATAGAGTGAGTTCTAATTCCGTTAATTGTTTTTGCTAAAAACGTCCTGAATTAAGCATGAATTGGAAATTTTATTGTTAGATTTTATGAAATCCAATCAAATACGTGAAAATGATGTGTGCGGAAGAATTACATAATTTTGATGAAATTCTCTAAAACTTTGATAAAATTTCAGTACATACTAATTGTATAGATTACAGTATATCAAATTCAAATGCATTAATTGAAAATTTTAGCTCATATAAAATTTCAAAATCAATAATTCAAATTTTTAATAAAATTTATTATATTTTAATTTTAGCTCATATAAAATTTCAAAATCAATAATTCAAATTTTTAATAAAATTTACATTTCTATTCTATTTTGTTAATAAATATTTATTTGTAAGTTATAATACTAAAGCATTTCCAAATTTATATATGTTATTTCATAGTCGTGATTTCGCCTTAGTTCAAACGTTCCTACTTCTATTTAAAAAATCGCAGACGAAATTTAAATTAAATTCGATCAAATAAAAAAAATGGAAAACGACCTATGCTCATTTTTTGGATTTAGCTCAACAAATTTGGTACTTCAGTTCCACTTTTTTCTTTTTGTCAATTGAATTTAGGAAAAAATCCAAATAAATACATGAATTTGTTTAAATCTTATCAATAAAAACATAATTTTTTTAATCTATAAAACAATACATCAAATTGTAAATTCATGTATTTTTATGAGTTACAAATTCATATATTTATTGATAAGGTTTAAACAAATTTATATTTATTTGGAATTTAGGTTTAAAATACAACCACAATTTTTGCATGACCGCAAATCACATAAATTAAAAAATCTTTTTACAACGAAAAAGAAGCCCCTTATCCAATCATTCTAAATTTAAAAAATTATTGATAATTTTTAGGAGGTTGGTGGGTGGCATATTTTTTTCTTGGGTTCTTGGAAGCTCCCGAGTGGATGATGATTTATGATTAAAATTGTCAAGAGAGCATTATCAAAAATATATTTATTTTATTATTTTTATTTCTAACATATTTTAATTAAATGATTAGTAAGATATATAATTAAGGAATAAAAGTTATAAATTAATGTAAATACTATAAATTTAATATTATAATAATAAAATCAAATGATCATGTTGTATCTATCACAGATGAAAAGGCATGTGTTGAAAAATTAAAGTAAAGTAAAAATATTTTTTTTATATAATGACCACTCAAAGTGATAGTTTTGGATACAACAAGTTTCAAGGTTAGTGATGAATGCAAAGATCAAGAATTTGTATCTTCTCGATGCACTTTGGGAGTTGTGTTTCCCCTTCTTTCCCTTATCCCTTCAATTTTTGTATCATTATTTTTAAATGGAATTTGCATCTTTTTTAGTGTTTTGCATTATATGAACCGCCGTATTAGTTAAAACACATTTGTTTCATTTACAAAAAAAAAAGTATATTTAGCATGATCCGTCTAGTTATTTTATATGTAATTTAGATTTATAAATTGAGATCATGTGTCAATTGGATTTGACTTGGCTTTCAATGATTTCATTGGCAGATTCAAATTGGATGGCTTTCTGATAATTATTTAAAAAAAAAATGTGCGAGTAAATACAAACCATTGAACATAAACTAATTTCAATGTTGTAACGTTTGTATGGCGTTATAGTATATCTTTAAAACACATCGTTATTAGTTTGGATAAGATTAAACAAACATTCATTGACTGTGATTGCCTGTAAACTTCTTTTGTAATTCATATTAATTTAATCAACCAAACTTTATTTACACATGAAATTACCTAGGTTGAGGAAATGGCAACAATCAGGGATTAAAGATGAAAAAAATCGTAAATGATATAAAATTAGATTCCATGATGTTAGCATATTAATATTTTAGAGAATAAATAAATATCAAATTTGTTTATAAAGTGAAAAACATGTCCCTTTAACTTTCTATACATACATGTATATATTCAATATTTGTGTATAACTTTATATATACATATACACACACGTACGTACTACGTAGATGTGATAAGATGGATGTCGAAGACTCGAAGTAGTAGGAGAAACATGAAAAAGCAACTCTCTCTCTCTCTCTCAATCAACGGTCAGAAGAGATCACATCGGGCTGATGTTACATTTGTTTGTGGTGTAAATTTGTAATATATGTGATAAATTAATGATTACTTAATCCCACCGTTCATATTCATGCTCGAAAATTAACAAATAAAAATTTAGTTAAAATACATTTGTTCTATTTACAAAAAATACATTTGTTTCAAAATTATTATATCCTTTTATTAACCGCAGTTGATAAAAACCACGACGAGTCGACAGAAAATCTTTCGTAATAGATTATAAAAATGATTTTATAGGATTTGGAATAAATATAAAATGATTATTTATCGAAAAACAATATTTTATAGCAGGTAAGCAGTAGTATCAGTTAGGGTAACGCCGATTGATGACAGGAGATTTTGTCATAAATATAACTCTCTTGAAAATATATATTTTGAAAAAAAATATATAATCGGGATTGATTTTAGTTTGTTAATTATTAAATAATTTAAGTGCATAAATATTTTTTATTTGAATTATAATTATTTTAAAATACCAATAAAATTAAATATTAAATTTTCTAATTGGTGACGAGCGTTATCAATGAATGATGATAGCTAAAAAAAAATATTATTGGATCTGGTTGTTATATTTTATTAAAGGTAATCAAATGAAAGTATTTATAAAATATAAATTTATAATAATTAAAAATATAATAGCGTTATCAATGAATGATGATACATAAATTCTTTACATTTTATAATCTATGCAGTTTAAAAAACCCCATAGAAAAACCGCAGTTTTTTTGTCTATTTATTTTTATTACGCTATCTCTAAGCAAAACGATTTATATATGGCGGTAGAATTATAGCAGTGAATTAATTAATGTAAATTCAATAAATAGGAAACAAAAAATCAATTAACACAAATCTGACTAATTTGCTACATCAAATAGTTATTGTATTGTTCATCCGTAATTTTCAAGTCTTTTCATGTCCACCTTGACAACCATTTGCTTACAGTAGTATGTCATAAAAATTCAATTACAAAAATTTTAAAAATAATATAAATTTTGTGTGATTACACAGTCTGGCGAGAGAATTTAGATTCGAATTTAAAGCTTCCATCTTCACCTTCTCTCTCTCTCTCTCTCTCTCTCCCCTCTCTCTCTCTGACGCAGAATACTCCTTTGTGTTGTGCAACGTATTCAGACACATCTCATAGAAAGACAGAAGAACACCAAACTAGGGTTATTTTCATATAAATTTTGAAGAGAGATTTCGAATAAAAACAATTATTAAATTTGATGGGTTCTTTTGGAGATGAAACGACGACGAAGAAGAAGGCGACGTGGGTATACCCTAAAGTTTTAGGGCATAACCCTCGAGAGAGATGGGGTCATTCTGCTTGCTATTCTAACGGCCTGCTTTACATCTTCGGGGTATGTTCCTAATTTTTCTGTTTTGAATGATGTATTGATCTTTCGTTACGCATGTTATATAGTTTCTTATATTTATTTTTTAATTCTTTTTTGGTTACGAATCAATCATTGGTGTTGTTATTTTTGGAGAAGTGAAGAGAGGACTTTCTAGCTTCGATCTTTACGACTTGCCATTTATATCATTTCAAGTAATTTAATATGTGAAATTTTGGTCCTTTTTTCATCCTCCGTCATATATTATATAGTTTCATGTCGAAGAGCATTTATATACAGATTCAACACTTCCGTATTATAAAAAAAAAACACACTGTAAATTTGTATTTCTGTATGTGTTGTGTATGTGTTTGGGTGTCTAAAGATATTAACGTATGCCCATAGTCTATATCCTTTATTTTTTTAAGAAAACTAAGTTGCAAATTAAACCTAAATAAAATTTTCACTAAAAGATCTAATTAAAATTTGTTTTCACTCTTTTGGGTAATTTTTTTTTTGGTAAATTGTGATCCAGGGATGTTGCGGCGGTTTACATTTTAGCGAGGTCATAACGCTGAACCTCCGTACAATGACGTGGACCGCGTTTGCGACCACAGGACGCCGTCCGGGACCGCGCGACAGCCATACCGCGGTTCTTGTGAGAAACAAAATGATCGTCTTCGGAGGCACGAACGGTTCGCACAAAGTGAACGACCTTCACGTTCTTGATTTGGTCTCAAGAGAGTGGTCGACGCCAAATTACCTCGGTACCCCTCCTTCGCCGAGGGAAAGCCACACGGCCACGGTGGTGGGGGAGGACAAAATGGTCATTTTCGGTGGCAGCGGCGAAGGCGAAGGGAATTACCCATGATGTTAGCATATTAATATTTTAGAGAATAAATAAATATCAAATTTGTTTATAAAGTGAAAAACATGTCCCTTTAACTTTCTATACATACATGTATATATTCAATATTTGTGTATAACTTTATATATACATATACACACACGTACGTACTACGTAGATGTGATAAGATGGATGTCGAAGACTCGAAGTAGTAGGAGAAACATGAAAAAGCAACTCTCTCTCTCTCTCTCAATCAACGGTCAGAAGAGATCACATCGGGCTGATGTTACATTTGTTTGTGGTGTAAATTTGTAATATATGTGATAAATTAATGATTACTTAATCCCACCGTTCATATTCATGCTCGAAAATTAACAAATAAAAATTTAGTTAAAATACATTTGTTCTATTTACAAAAAATACATTTGTTTCAAAATTATTATATCCTTTTATTAACCGCAGTTGATAAAAACCACGACGAGTCGACAGAAAATCTTTCGTAATAGATTATAAAAATGATTTTATAGGATTTGGAATAAATATAAAATGATTATTTATCGAAAAACAATATTTTATAGCAGGTAAGCAGTAGTATCAGTTAGGGTAACGCCGATTGATGACAGGAGATTTTGTCATAAATATAACTCTCTTGAAAATATATATTTTGAAAAAAAATATATAATCGGGATTGATTTTAGTTTGTTAATTATTAAATAATTTAAGTGCATAAATATTTTTTATTTGAATTATAATTATTTTAAAATACCAATAAAATTAAATATTAAATTTTCTAATTGGTGACGAGCGTTATCAATGAATGATGATAGCTAAAAAAAAATATTATTGGATCTGGTTGTTATATTTTATTAAAGGTAATCAAATGAAAGTATTTATAAAATATAAATTTATAATAATTAAAAATATAATAGCGTTATCAATGAATGATGATACATAAATTCTTTACATTTTATAATCTATGCAGTTTAAAAAACCCCATAGAAAAACCGCAGTTTTTTTGTCTATTTATTTTTATTACGCTATCTCTAAGCAAAACGATTTATATATGGCGGTAGAATTATAGCAGTGAATTAATTAATGTAAATTCAATAAATAGGAAACAAAAAATCAATTAACACAAATCTGACTAATTTGCTACATCAAATAGTTATTGTATTGTTCATCCGTAATTTTCAAGTCTTTTCATGTCCACCTTGACAACCATTTGCTTACAGTAGTATGTCATAAAAATTCAATTACAAAAATTTTAAAAATAATATAAATTTTGTGTGATTACACAGTCTGGCGAGAGAATTTAGATTCGAATTTAAAGCTTCCATCAACATATATTTCAACGAACAAGATACATAAATTTACAAAAACAAATAACAAACATAATATAAAAAGATATTCTATGATGTTATTAATTTTAGAAAATCCAAGAGAAACTGAATAATCCAAAAGTAAAAGCTCTTAAAAATACCACCTAGGTTTTTATTTTTTCTTGTGGAGGAAAAATCAAAATTATGAACATGGAGCTACTACGTTCAGGAAAGGACACTGTCTCTTTCTGTTGCTCCCTCGTGTCATGTCAAAGTTTCACTTCATTTCAATCTCCTCCCACCTTGACCCAATGGCCTCTCTCTCTCTCTCTCCCTCCCTCTCTCTCTCTCCCCAGTTGTGAATTCATCCTATTATACACTGCGTAACCCTTAGTTCCCATTTTTGCTCATCTATCTCTCTCTCTCTCTCTATCTCTCTCTCTCTCTTTCTCTCTCTCCAGATCCGTTGAAGGATCTTAGCCTTTTTTGGAATATTACTTCACCATACTCAAGTAGCAGAACTAGAAGCTAAGTCTCTCTCCTGTCTTTCGCTCTCTATTTGATGATGTTTAAAGCATAATTAATCAAAGCCAAGATCGAACCAAGTAAGCTATTCATCAAATACCCATCACGGAAAAACTCAAGATCTAGCCCTAATTCACTCGCATAAACAAACAATCCTAAAAAGATCCCTAATACAAATCTTTTAATTTTAACATAAACAGTACCTGATTGAAAGTGCAATAACACGGTGGTGATGACGACGATGAAACTAAACACCACCAAACAAAAAAATCTTTTTTATTCCTGAGGATGAGAAGTGTTAACGGAAGAAGAAGAACAAATGGAGAGAAAGGTTAGGAATTAGGGTAAAAGAAATTTAGGGTTAAAAAAATTAGGTAAAGCTTTGGGTAGAAAAAAATGGTTTGAAAAAAACAAAGAAAAAGTTACGGGCCTCAAGCCCAGCCCGAAGCCCGACTGACTCGGCCCAATAGGTCCGAGACCCATTTAGCCCGAGGCCCGAAATCCCGAGGTTTAATGGGTCTATATATTTTAGGCCTATGTCCTTATTATTTTCGGGGGGTTCGGGCCGGGTTTTGGACTTCAGGCGTTATTGACACCCCTAGTAATCCCGTTTAAGCAAGTCTATGTCAGAGGCAAGAAAGGAAAGGAAACAAGGAATGGAGGGAGTATCAGCTAAGGAACCAAGTGGCAGTCAGGTAAATAAGGAGTATGACTTTTATTAATTACTTATGTTGGGATCTGTTTTTATAATACAGAAAGTACAAGGGTCTAAATATAAATATTACAAAATGTAGGGTTGGATGATTTTCCGATCAACAGCCTATCTTATATAAGGAAATATCTATGAAATGAGAAAGACATGTTTTGGAGTGTGAAATTCTGAGTAGGAGGTTAGCGATTCCTCAAACCAATCGTTGGGTCACCGTTCTCCTAGAATGGGATTTGCATTCTTTCGACAGTGTGGACTTCAGTTTCGATGGATTTTATAGAGGGACTATCGATCTCGGAGCAAAGGGATACCATCTTCGTAGTGATCGACCGCCTTACGAAGTATGCCCACTTTCTCACCTTGAAGCACCCTTTTTTGGCTATGGATGTGGCTGAAGTGTTTTTCCGCGAGGTAATTCGCCTTCACGGACTGCCTAAGATTTTATATCAGATCGGGACAAGGTTTTTCAAAATCAGTTTTGGCGAGCGCTATTCAACCTCTACGGCACCAAGCTGTTCATGAGTACCGCCTATCATCCTCAAATGGACGGCGAGACGGAGGTCGTCAACCGCTGTCTCGAGGCGTACTTGCGGTGTTTTGCGGGTGAAAAGCCACAGTCCTGGACTCGTTGGATTTGTTGGGCCGAATATTGGTATAACACGTCATTCCACACTGATCAGAACGACGCCGTTCCGAGCTCTTTATGGCAGAGATCCGCCTCATCTACGTCGTGGACAACATTCTGGGCAGCCCATCGATAGTCTGGACCAGTTGATAGAAGAACGTGATGACATCATAGCCGAATTGCAAGCTAATTTAAGTCGCGCACAGGCTCTCATGCGCTCGGCTGCTGATTGGAAGAGGTGCGTAATCAAATTTCAGGTTGGAGACTTGGTCTTTTTGAAACTCCGACTTTATCGAATGAAATCATTAGCACGAAAAAGGTTCGAGAAATTGGGACTGCGCTACTTTGGTCCTTACCGAGTGATGAGCCGAATCGAAAAGGTCGGCTATAAGCTGGAACTTCCTGCAACAACCACCATACACCCGGTTTTTCATGTGTCCCAACTTCGGCCAGCCGTCGGGGTCGATGTTAATGTGGAAACACAGCCATTACCGACAGGATTTATGGTTGATTTGGAGTGGCGGGTTCATCCAGAAAACTTACGGGGAGCTCACCGCAATGAACCCAGCGGGATTGTCGAGGTACTCATCCAATGGGAGAATCTTCCCCCTAGTGACGCAAGTTGGGAGGCATATGAGACCATCGACAAGCAATTTCCTGATTTTCACCTTGATGACAAGGTGAAAGTGTGGGAGGGGGGTAATGGTGTAATCTCGTTTAAGCAAGTCTATGTCAGAGGCAAGAGAGGAAAGGAAACAAGGAATGGAGGGAGTAACAGCTGAGGAACCAAGTGGCAGTCAATTAAATAAGGAGTATGACTTTTATTAATTACTTATGTTGGGATCTGTTTTTATAATACAGAAAGTACAAGGGTCTAAATATAAATATTACAAAATGTAGGGTTGGATGATTACGACACATAATCTCGGGACCAGTGAGGACAAAGAAACTCGTAGTGCCAATTAATTTTAATTTTAGTTTTATTTTGTAATATTTGAACCATATTTCTTTTATTTTAATATTTTAATTTTAATTTTGTTTATTTTCTATTATATTTATATATATATATATATATATATATTTAAATATATTATTTTATTAATTAATATATATAGTAAATATTTTTATATATAAATATATATAATTAATACAAAATAAAATAAAATATTTAAAAAGAAAATAAATATAATATTTATTTTATTTTTAAATATTTATTTTATTTTTATTAATGTTTTTTCCGATTCCAACGGGTATTCAAACGGATTTCCGTTGGAACCACATACTAATTCCAACAGATATCCGTCACAAATAACGTTGCAAATTTTCAACGCATATTCCAACGGATATCCATTACACATTGCCAACGAATATCCGTTGTAAATACCGTTGTAAAATTCCAATGACTATTCCAACGAAATTTCCAATGGATTTTCATGGCTAATGTCGTTGGAAAACCCGTGGCATTTTTCTAACGCATATTCCAACGGATATCCGTGGCAATTTTGTAACGGGAAACCGTTGCTAAAATGTTGGAATAATTCCACAGAAATTTCATTGAAAACCGTTGGAATTATGCGACGGACACAGCCGTTGGACATCCGTTGAAATATTTCAACGGATACACATGTTGTAATTCCGTTGGAAATTGCCACAGATTTCCAACGGAATCGAATTTCCAACGATGTTTTTTCAACGAAAAAATCCGTTGGAAATCCGTTGGAAATCGACATTTCCAACGGATTTTCGGCATTTTCCAATGGATTTGCCGGTTGGAATTCATGGGTTTTTTTTTGTAGTGAAGAAAGGAAATATAGCATATAACGGCTAATTAAAAGAAGGAAAAAAA